GGTGATGTTGAGAAAGGTAAGAAGATTTTTGTTCAGAAGTGTGCCCAGTGCCACACCGTGGAAAAGGGAGGCAAGCACAAAACTGGGCCTAATCTCTATGGTCTCTTTGGGTGGAAGACAGGTCAAGCTGTTGCATTATCTTACACAGACGCCAATAAGAACAAAGGCATCACCTGGGGAGAGGATACACTGAGGGAGTATTTGGAGAATCGCAAGGGTATGGAAGAAAAATGATCTTTGCCGGCATTAAGAAGAAGGCAGAAAGGGCAGACTTGATAGGTTATCTCAAAAAAACTACCAGTGAGTAATAATTGGCCACTGCCTTATTTATTACAAAACAAATGTCTCATGACTGTTTTATGTGTACCCTACTTTAATAGATCTCATACACCAGAATTCAGATCATAAATGAAAGATAGAATATTTTGTTGGGCAGTTGTGATTTAAAACTAAGACTGGCTTGTGGTTAAATGTTCAGTTTTTGAATTTTAATAGAAATTCCAATTCAGCACTGTTTACCCCTTCTAAAGATTTATGATTAGAATTCGTTAGTAATGTTAAACTTCTCACAAAGATGGTGAGTGCCATCTTAAAACTTAATGGAGGTCGGGCGCAGTAGCTCACGCCTGTAATCCCAGCACTTTGGGAGGCTGAGGCGGGTGGTTCACTTGAGTTCAGGAGTTCGGGACCAGCCTGGCCAACATAGTGAAACCCCTTCTCTACTAAAAATACAAAAATTAGCCAGGCGTAGTGGCAGGCACCTGTAATCCCAGCTACTTGGGAGGCTGAGACAGAATTGCTTGAACCCAGGAGGTGGAGGTTGCAGTGAGCCAAGATCACGCCACTGCACTACAGCCAGAACGACTAAGCAAGACTCCATCTCAAAAACAAAAACAAAACCAAAAACAAAACAAAATAAAAAAAAACAAACTTAATGGAGATTGGTTTTATATTTAGATTTATATAACTGGGTATGTGAATATATTTAAATACTGGGGAAATTCCTTCACTGTCTTAGAACCAAGGAAGACTCACCTGTGTTTTGTGTTCATTCGCCTCTTAAAGGCAAGGGCTGAAGGTAGAGGTAGCAATGCCTAGTTTATATTTCTGGCCTTATTTATGCGAACCTAATTAGAATTCCCTGTATTTAAAATGGTTCCTTTAACTTAATGAAAGACATTTTAGTGTGGTTTATGTGTAATATCAAATATTATTTAACACTTCTCACATTTTATACACGATCTATAAGGTCACATGCTTTTAAAAGAGTAACAAGTTAAACTTCACTCTTGAATTCTTTACAATCAAACTCAAACTAAGTTATAATTCAGGATTGTCTTTAAAGAGTAATTCAAAAACATAAAACTGTAAAACTGCTGTGTATTTGTGATTGGCAATGGTACTTCTGCCAACTTAAAATGATTAAAGTAGAGGAGATACACACAAATTTTAAAACTATGTGTGATCATACGACTCAATTAAGAAAATCACAGATCAAAAAATAATAATAAAATAAAAAATAAGGCCAGATGCGATGGCTCATGCCTGTAATCACAGCGCTTTGGGAGGCTGAGGTGAGTGAATCATGAGGTCAAGAGATCAAGACCATCTGAGCAAACATCGTGAAACCCCGCGTCTACTAAAAATACAAAAATCAGCTGGGCGTTGTGGCACACGCTCATAGTCCCAGCTACTCAGGAGGCTGAGGCAGGAGAATTGCCTGAACCCGCAAGGTGGAGGTTGCAGTGAGCCGAGATCATGCCACTGCACTCCAGCCTGGCGACAAAGCTAGATTCCATCTCCAAAAAAAAAAAGACAAAAAAAAAAGATAAATTTGACTTTATCGAAAACAAATACTTTTGTGCATCAAAGGACACTATCAAGGGACTGAAAACCCATAGAATGGGAGAAAATATTTGCAAATCATATATCTGATAAGGGATCAATATCCAGAATATATAAATAACTCCTGTATCTCAACAACAACAAAAACTTAATTTAAAAATGGGCGAAGGGCTGAGCACGGTGGCTCGTGCCTGTAACACCAGCACTTTGAGAGGCAGGGGTGGTTGATCTCCTGAGCTCAAGAGTTCGAGACCAGACTGGGTAACATGACGAAACCTCACGTCTACCAAAATTGCAAAAAATTAGCTGGGTACAGTGGTGTGCACCTGTGGTCCCAGCTACTCAGGAGGCTGACATGGGAGGATCGCTTGAGCCTGGGAGGTGGAGGTTGCAGTGAGCCAAGATCACAACACAGTACTCCAACGTGTGTGACAGAGTGAGACCTCATCTCTAAAACAAGACAAACAAAAATGGGTAAAGGACTTGAATAGACATCTCTACAAAAATATAGAAATGGCCAAGAAGTACGTGAAAAGATGTTTAACATCATTAGTCATTAGGAAATGCAAATCAAACCACAATGAGATACCACTTCGTACACATCGGGATGATTATAATTAAAAAGTAGGGCCAGGAGAGGTGGCAGGTACCTATAGACCCAGATACTCAGGAGGCTGAGGCAGGAAGACTGCTTAAGCCCAGGAGTTTCAGGCTACAGTGAACTATGATCACGCCACTACACTGCAGCGTGGGTGACAGAGCAAGACCCTATATAAAATTTTTTTAAAAATTATTAATTAAAAGAAAAAATATTTTAAGGAAAATAAATGTTGGCAAGAATATGGAGAAATTAAAGTCTACATGTGTTATTGGTGGGAATGTAAAATTATGCAGCTGCTATGGAAAGCAGTTTGGTGGTTCCTCAAAATGGTAAACATATGGTCATCCTATGATCCAGCAATCCCACTCTTAGAAATATACCCTCAGAGACTCAAACAAATATTTGTAAACCAATCATCGTAACATTATTCAAATGGCCAAAACGTGGAAACAACCCAAGTGTCCATCAATGGATGAATAGATAAACAAAATATGTTATAAACAAAGAATGGGGGCCAGGCACAGTGGCTAACGCCTGTAGTCCCAGCACTTTGGGAGGCCGAGGAGCGTGGATCACCTGAGGTCAGCAGTTCGAGACCAGCCTGACCAACATGGTGAAACCCCAACACTACTAAAAATACAAAAATTAGCTGGGTGTGGTGGTATGTGCCTGTAATCCCAGCTACTGAGGAGGCTGAGGCAAGGGAATTGCTTGAATCCAAGGGGCAGAGGTTGCTGTAAGCTGAGATTGTGCCACTGCATTCCGGTTTGGGTGACACAGTGAGACTCCGTCTCAACAAAACAAAACACAACAACAAAAACAAAGATGGAATTACCACAGCTGTAATAGGGAATAAAGTTCTGATGCATGCTACAACATACATGAATCTTGAAAATATTAAGCTGGCCGGGCGCGGTGGCACACGCCTGTAATCCCTGCACTTTCGGAGGCCGTGGTGGGTAGATCATGGGGTCAGGACATCGAGACCATCCTAGCTAACACAGTGAAACCCTGTCTCAACTAAAAAAGACAAAAAATTAGCCGGGTGTGGTGGCAGGAGCCTGTAGTCCCAGCTACTCTGGAGGCTGAGGGAGGGGAGTGGCATGAACCCGGAAGGCGGAGCTTACAGTAAGTCGAGATCCCAGCACTGCACTGCAGCCTGGGCAAGAGTGAGACTCCGTCTCAAAGCTCAAATAAAAAAAAAAAGAAAAGACTATAGATGACTGCTACGTGAAAATATAGCAAGACAACAAGATAAACCATATTAGTTAGTTGATTCCATCCTTATGTGATGGCCTAGAATGAACAATCCATAGACAACAGAATGTGATTAATGATTGATTAGCGGGGTGGGGAGAGGAAGACTGGGCAAATATTAGCCTAATGGTGGCAAAGTTGGATGATCCATTGGGAGGGTCCGAAGACTGGGCGGCATCACGAGGTCAGAGATACGAGACG